CGAACAGTAGTTTGTTTAGCCACCGGAGAAAAAGTTTTGATGCCGTCGAGTCCAGATCGTCGTCCATACCCTTCTTCAACTAGTATGGATTTTAACTTCAATATGAGGCCATTAGAGTCATATTTGAGACGAAAAAACCCACTCACTTCCTATAGCATTTTATATGTTGATTCCATTAAAATTTTTGCTGTATTTTTATTAATAATTAAATTTTATCCCGCTAAAATTTTATATGTTTGTCTCTTAAAATATTGCAAATTACTCTCTTTTGAAGAAATAAGAGAAGTAGTTTGGATCGGCGTTTGTTTCGAAATAGCCAAGGCAGGATCGATGAGGATTAAGCAGTTTTAAGCTTGGTGAAGAAAAAGTTTGCAGGGGAGTGGTCCATCTTATTAGGTGTTGCATCTCCTTGTTGATAATATTGTTTGATTCTCTATTCAGTAGATAGGAGAGTGTTTAGGAAGTTTATTTGTTTTGCAATCCTGGTGATTTTCGTTTGCTGGGTGGATAGTTTGGAGGGAAATCTTCGATTTGGTTGTTTTGGGCGTGTTGTCCTTGTTTATCGGATAGGATGCACTCTTGTCCTCCATTTAAGTTTAGAGAGGTTTTTAACGAGTTATCTTGTTTTGGTTTGTTTTAATGTTTATTCTAATAAAAATCACTTTTACCGAACAAAAAATAATATTGTGAATTCATCCCTTAATATACAAAATTTTACTGCTAAAATGTGTTTGAGGGGTTGGGTTGCTACACACCTTTGTTGGTTTGTGTATCGAAAAACCCATGGAAGAGCAAAGCTAAAAAATTATTGTTTATTTCATGCTGGTGCATTGAACAAGCATCCCTATTTATTCAAGATTTTCAATTCTCATCATGTAAATTAAAGGAAAGGAAAAGAATAAAGATAAAATAATAAAGGTGGAATACACTATACTTATTTGCTGAACTTCCATGGCGTTAAGGGGATCTAGGATAGTTGAAGAATTCCATGATTGAATGATATATGAGGTTAATGGATGAAAATCATTTCCTAACACTAATATAATTTAAACTCCAGCGTGTTAAACTTACGTTTCTGATTAAATTTGTAGATTACAAATTGATTAAGAAGGGTAGTTTGTTAATACAAGTTAATTTACGCATATATGGAGGTTAGGATCCACTTACGATTGTAAAATTAAGAGTTTTACATCTTTTAGATCGAGGGAAATTAAAGACCGATGTTAACTCTTTATTTTTTTTCTAGTGAATGTCTTTTCATTTCATATTGTTAATCACAGCCTTTGATTTCTCTCATTCAATAATCATACCCCTATATATCTAGTGTTAAAATCCACTTACATTGCGTAAAAACTTTTTAATTTTATACCTTTCTAAAACCATTTAATTAAAGAAAATATGAAATTATTTTAAGATAAAAAGAAATTAAAAAAATGAAGAATAATAGAGAAGATAAAAGTTTCATGGTTTAGGTTCTGTTTGTAATATTTTATAAAAATAATACAAAACGGGTAACTTTTCAAATCAAAATTCAATTTGAGATAAATTTTATGTACACGTAAATCATATTGAATTTGAAAATAAACAAAAACAATAATAGTTTAATAGACTTGGGATAATGGCGTTTTTACTAAACAATCACCCTCAAATGTATAGAAACTTCCTCCAGCATAATAGTGCACTCCTTACACGAAAGATGAAATATGTGTATATGGTCTTCACCTTTTAATTAGTGTAGAAATAAGGTTGGGTTCAAGGTTACAATGTCCTTCATATTTCGCTATGTAACCGAAACCAGCATCGACTATACACGACCAGACATAACTCGGTATCTCTAACTTAGAGTTACAAATAAATGGATCTAATATATGATCATTCCCCTAATTAAATAAATAGTATACAAATTAAAATATAAACTAATACTAAAAAATAAATAAGTAAAACATTCACAATAATTAAAATAACACAGTTTAAAATTGTTATTGTATCGTCAAAATGACTCGAGATATGATTATTATCCAATGTTTTTAAAATCGGACCGAACATTGAACCGGTGAAGATACTGGTTCACTGGCTCAACCGGGTTCAACCGCGGTTGAACCGGATTTTATATAAAATAATATTTTTTTTTAATTTTACATAATATTCAAAGCAATATTAATATATATGTAACACTTTTTTTTAAGTTTACAATATTAAAAGGTATAAAAATATCACAAGTCATAACATATATAAATTAAAAACCATAAAATCAAGTGAAACAAAATGATTCAAATCAACTACAACATAATATTTAAGGTAAAACATATTAAATAATAAATATAATTATATAACTATAATCAAAAAAATAAAATTGGGGCTTAAAAAAATCATAACAAATGATGTCATTTGGTTTAATATTTTTTAAAAAAAAACAATCCCACATGGTTAAGAAATATAGAAGAGCATCCCAAAAGTTTAAAAAGTAAAAATATGAGAACAAAACAATCCCACATGGCTAAGAAACATAGAAGAACATCCCAACTTACTTCTATAAATAATAGAGATAATATGACATTCAAAATCATGGAGCCTTTTGGTGAGCACAGAGCGAATTATTCTTTCGCTTCAATTGAGCTCAAATTTTAGGCTTCAATCAAACTTCTAAGTTTTTTTTTGAGTTTGAGCGTTTTCGAGTTCAAGTTTTAATATTATATTTCGAGTTCGAGTTGAACTTGATAATTTTAGCTCGTGAGTTTTTTAGTCGAGTTGAGCTTACTTTTAAAGTTTTCGAGTTCGAGTCGAGCTCAACAACATTCGAATTTGACTTGGCTCGTTGAACAAATGATGTCGTTTGGTTTAATTTTTTTTAAAAAGAAAAAAAGTGAATCGGCGGTTCAAACTGATTTTGCCGGTTTTTAGCCGATTCACCCCGGTTCTACCGGTTTTCAGCCGGTTCATTGCCAGCCCGATTTTGTGAGGTAATCGGACCGGGACAGGCCATCGGTTCACGGTTCAACCGGTTGAACCGGCCAATCCGATCCGGTTTTGATAACTTTGTTATTAACTAAACACAGTTATCGTCCTTCCATTTTATAACTGCAAAAAGGTAAAAAAAATAGTATGGTAAAATATAATAAAATAATAAACTATTAAATGATTATAATATAATAAAAAATTTACCTTCTAAAAATGATAATAAAACTTACTTAAAGCTTGATAAAATGATTGATAAAAAGAAAAAAAAAATTGTATAGTTTGAGGGTTGTATGAGGAAGGTATTTATAGGGGAGGGGGACATACAATATTAAAGGGATAAGTGATAATTAATGGGAGAGGGACATACGGTTGAGCGGTAATAAATGGGATATTGATAGGAGGTGCGCCTCATGATCCACGTCTTCCCCCAAGTATCAGATTTTCCCGCGAAGATATGCTTCATGAGCCGCACCTTTTCACTGTGGCGCCAGTTCGGATATAACCCCATGAAAACGCGCTTCTTGATTTACGCCTTCCGTCCACCTGTCAGAAATGATGTTAAATCGATAATATTTAAAAAAAATGATATTTAACAAGTAATTATTTACGGTGATTTTTGGATAAAATTTAGGCTCAAAAATCATAAGTCAATGATATCTGACTTTAGTGCCAAACGGTGGATATAAGGCTTTGAAATAAGCTTGAGAGTGAGGAGAAAGCCAATTCCCGCAAAATCATGCTATTATAGACCCACGGTAGGACCCGGTCCAAAATTGCGACTTGGCCTCTTTCCATTTGTTTCCTCTTTCAAAGTTACCGAAAAGTATAGAAAAATTGTACTTCCAATACTCAACTTTGAATTTATGTCATGTTGCAATCTATTTTCAACATTTATAATTACTGATTTGTTGCATTGACTGGACTTGATCTTTTTTCCTATCTAAAAAATAATTTAATGTTTTAATTATTTTAAATATTTATTTTAATTCATCATAGAACCAATTTTTTCCCTTATATATGTGCTTCCAAGGCTCACACAATTCTTCTAATAAAAAACCACCAAAAATATTTCTAACATCAGTAAGATAATTTCTACTTGTAACACTACGAATTTACATGAAAAACGAATAGAAAACTTGAAAGGGAGTTCTTCGAGCTTAAACACACTCAAAATCTCAAGTGAACTCGAGAATATTATTTAAGAGGATGATAAGCTCATATTAAAGCTCATGATCCATAAATCATGAATTTTTACTTTGAATTTTCATATTGAAAAAGAAAATGAAGAAAGGTAAAGCCTTTCTCTAATCCCCTTGCTTAGATGAAGGAAGAAAAAGAAATAAGTTTGGAGATAAGAAGAAGAGTGTTTGAGGAAGAGTAGAGAGAAAAATGCCCTCAACGCCCACGTCTAAATCAACCAAAATTTTTCTATATTAACTATGATTTTACTCAATAGGAAAATCATACTTTGGGTTCATCTCCATCCATCTTAAGTTTTTTTTTTTTTTTGGTCTACAGCTAAATAAAGTTCATGTTCAAGTCGTTCATCGAATGGGAAGGCTGCGATGCAGACCATCTGTTCCCTTCATGGATCGACGATCCCCTCAGCGACTGTTGTGGCTGGGAGCGAGTCACCTGCAACTCTTCAACCGCTCGTGTAATCCGACTCTCCCTCGATAATACGGCCATGTACCGGAGATCGTCTCGACTCTGTTTGGTATGTAGACCTCGCCCTGTTTCAGCCCTCTGTCAACCTCAATACTCTAGACTTGTCCTTCAATGCCACTGGTGGCTGGATACAAAATCACGGTGTGTATCTATATCTGAACTCACTTAAAACCGAGCTAAGAGTCACGAGTTAATGGAACACTGATTTTTTTTTAATTTGACATGATAGGAGGGTTTGAAAACTACTTGAGACTTGAACAACTTGAGGTGTTGGATGTTTCTTACAACAATCTGAACAAGAGCAGCTTAAAACTATTGAGTGCACTTACTTCCCTTAATCTCAGAGGGAAGAAGAGTTATTTGTCGTGTGGCAAGGAGAATTGTATCCAACCCATGAGGCACGACAAAACATTCCTGTCCAAGGTAGGTTAAGTATATAAATGTAAAATAAAATCATATAGCGTCCAATTAAATATTCATTTCGAGTCATAAAGAATATTTTAAGTCAAAAAATATTCCTAACATTTTATTAAATAATTAATTTTATTTCTATTCTTTTTAAAATATTTTCCTTCTTAACATTTCATTTTGAAAAAAAAAAACTGTACTTTTCTAATTCTTCATGTCACGTGTCCAATGCAGAATTATCCGTTTTCGAAAAGCTGGGAAATCTGGATTTAAGTTTAAACAGGGTCGGAGGCAGCCCACTGACAGCACAAAGTAAGCAATCATAACATTTTATTATTATTATGGATATATCGTTAATGGTATATTAACTCACTTGATATTATTATTAGATTATTATTATAAAAATATAATTTTTATTATTTTTGTGTTTATGATTGTGAGGTAGAGTCATGATTAAATATAGACATAGTTGAAAATTGATTTCAATAATGCACCGAAAGTGTATTAGTTGGCAACAACGATAAAGTGCATTAGTTGACAGTAATGATTCAATTAAAGTTGACAACAATAATGTTGAAAAGTGGGATGGAAAAATTATACTTTTAGTCTCTATACTTTAGGATATTTATAAGATTAGTCTTTAAGCTTCAACTATAAATACTTAACCCATTTAGCTTCAAAACCATCCCAAATCATTCTAGCTTTTTCTCAATACTAGAGAATTTAGAGAGTTTTCTTAAGAGTTATTTTCTCATTTTTATCAAGAGAGAACTATCATTGTTTTCTCCTTGTTAGATCGAGAGAAGTTATAATTCATATTTTCCCATAGTGAAATTCTTCTACCATTACCCGTGGTTTTTACCCTATATTATTTAGAGGTTTTCCACGTAAAATTTGTGTCTTCTTTATCTTTATTTTCTCAAATTATCAGTTGCGATTTTGCTCTATCCGATAGTCGTATTCCGCAACAATTGGTATCAAGAGCCATATTAGAGTGTGTAATATCTACTTATTGTCTTTTTGGTTGCCACCAAAAGGTGGATCCTCCAACATAAGAAAGTAAGAAGGTATTACTCATTCTTTGAAGGTTCCAGAGAACTATTCACAATAGTGAAATAGTGGGAGCTATCCGTATTAGAAGCTATCCGTATTAGAAGTTATTGCAACGAAATTTGATATTAAAAAGTTCAATGGGAGAAATTTCTCATTGTGAAAATTGAAGATGAATATCATCCTGAGGAAAGACGGTTGTCTAGCAGCTATCAGTGAAAGGCCAGTAGATTTCACAGATGACAACAAATGGATAGAAATGGATGAGAATGTTATGGCAAACTTTCATCTAGCATTAGCAGATGAAGTGTTATAAAGCATCGAGGAGAAGAAAACAGCTAAGGAGATATAAGATCATCTCACCAAACTGTACGAGGCTACATCATTGCACAATAAAATTTTCCTTAAGAGGAAATTGTACACTCTCCGTATGCCAGAATCTACTTCAGAGACGGAACACTTAAACACACTGAACACTTTATTTTCTCAGCTTATATCCTTAAGCTGTAAAGTATGAGAACAAGAACGTGATGAACTTCTACTTCAAAGTCTACCGGATTCGTATGATCAACTCATCATCAACTTGACAAACAGTAATGTCACCAGTCTAGTCTTCGATGACGTTGCAGCTGTTGTTCTACAAGAAGAAAATCGGCACAAGAACAAGGAAGACAGACAAGTAAATCTACAACAAGTAGAAGCAGTGACAACAATGAGAGGTAGATCAACAGAACGTGGCTAAAGCAGCAGTCACAAACATGGTAGATCAAAGTCAATAAGCAAGAAGAATTTAAAGTGCTACAACTGTGGAAAGAAGGGTCACTTGAAGAAGGATTATTGGAGTCTAAATAAAAACTCCAATCCACAAGTCAATACCACAAACACTTCAGATAATGAAGATGATCTATGTTGTGAAGCGTCAACCACCGTGGAAGGTAGAAAGAGATTTGGAGATATATGGCTCATTGATTCAGGAGCAACATATCACATAACCTCAAGAAGAGAATTGTTTCATCATTATGAATCTGTCTCAGGAGGATCTGTGTATAGTTGCAATGATCATGCCTTAGAGATCGTTGGCGTGGGAACCATCAAATTGAAGATGTATAATGAAACAATAAAGTTGTTCGAGATGTGCGGCACATGAAAAGCCTAAAGAAAAATTTATTATCCTATGGATTGTTGGATAATAATGCAAGCATGATTGAAACACGAAAAAGAATCATGAAGGTATTCCGTGGAGCGCTTGTGATGATGAAAGGCGAAACGATAGCAGCAAACTTGTACATGCTGAAGGGAAAGACTTTACTAGAAGCAGAAGCCTCTGTTGCCTCATGTAGTTCAGATTATACAATGTTATGGCATCAAAAACTTTCACACATGTCAGAACAAGGAATCAAAGTCCTTGTGGAGCAAAAGTTACTTCCAGGCTTAACAAATGTATCACTTACTTTGTGTGAGCATTGCATAACAAGTAAGCAACACCGGTTGAATTTCAACAATTCAAATTCTACAAGCAAAAGTGTTCTAGAATTGGTTCATTCTGACGTATGGCAAGCACCATTTATATCCCTAGGCGGAGCAAAATATTTTGTCTCATTTATTGATGACTACTCCAGGAGATGTCGGGTGTATCCTATTAAGAAGAAGTCAGATGTGTTTTCCACTTTCAAAAACTTCAAAGCGCGGGTGGAACTTAATTTTGGAAATAAAATCAAGTGTTACAGAACAGATAATGGAGGAGAATACACAAGCGAAGAATTTAATGACTTTTGCATGAAATAAGGCATCAAAAGACAGTTCACAGTGACGAACACTCCTCAATAAAATGGAGTGGCAGAACGGATGAACAGAACATTGTTAGAAAGAACAAGAGCAATGTTGAGAGCTGCAGGCCTATAAAAATCATTTTGGGCAGAAGCAGTCAATACCGTCTGTTATTTGGTGAATCGAGCTCCATCAACTACAATAGAGCTGAAGATACCAATGGAGATGTGAACTGGTAAACCATCTGATTATTCAAACCTCCATGTATTTGAAAGTATTGTGTACGTGATGTACAACTCCTAAGAAATTTCAAAATTGGATCCAAAATTCAGGAAATGCAAATTCTTGGGGTATGCTGATGGAGTAAAGGGGTATCACTTGTGGGATCCCACTGCCCACAAAGTGATCATCAGCAGGGATACTATCTTTGCAGAAGACAAACTATAAAGAAAAGAAGACGATGATAGCGCTGAAAAGTCAGAGACTACACAGATACATGTGGAAAAGGAGTTTGAACAAGGAAATTCTTCGGAAGCACAACTAGCATATGATGAACAAGAACCAGAGAATTCTGAAGCTCCAACAACTCGTCAATTATATCGTGTGAGAAGAAGTCTCAATTGGCACTCAGATTATGTTATAGAATGCAATATTTCATACTACCTTTTAACAGAAAACGGTGAGCCATCAACATACCGGGAGGTAATAAACATCTCAGATGTTTCACTGTGGATGATGGCGATGCAAGAAGAAATTGAAGCACTTCATAAAAATAATACATGGGACCTTGTGCTACTACCAGAAGGAAGTAAGCCAATTGATAACAAATGAGTCTTCAAAATCAAGCGAAATGGTGATGATCAAGTTGAGAGGTATCGTGCAAGACTGGTGGTACATGATATGCTCAAAAAGAAGGTATTGATTTCAATGAAATCTTTTCTCTTGTGGTTTGACTAACAACAGTTCGAGTAGTATTGGTAATGTATGCTACATTGAACTTATATCTAGATAAGCTAGATGTTAAAGCAACTTTTCTTCATAGAAATCTTGAAGAATAGATTTATATGCTCCAACCTAAAGGTTTTGAAGAAGAATAAAAGAAGAACTTGGTTTGCAGATTGAACAAATCTCTAGACATGATGAACTCTCCAGAGAGTTCTGAAGCTAAAACAACTCGTCAATCAGATTGTGTGAGAAGCCGTCCCAATTGGCACTCAGATTATGTTATAGAAGGTAATATTGCATATTGCCTTTTATCAGAGGATGGTGAGCCATCAACATACCAGAAGACAATAAACAGCTCAGATGCTTCACTGTGGATGATGGCGATGCAAAAAGAAATTGAAGCCCTTTATAAAAATAATACATGTGACGTTGTGCCATTACCACAAGGAAGGAAGCCAATTGGTAACTTCAAAATCAAGCGAAATGGTGACGATCAAGTTGAGAGGTATCGTGCAAGACTGGTGGTCAAAGGACATGCTCCAGCCTGAAGGTTTTGAAGAAGAAGAAAAGAAGAACTTGGTTTGCAGGTTGAATAAATCTCTGTATGGTTGACTAATTCAGATCGGGTACTACAGAGGCGAGGGTTACCCTCCCAACCCAGTTTGCTTCATACACAATCGCCAAGATTCGAACCCCTGACCTTGCTTAAGGTATCTAGTGTCTCATCCTACTAGATCAACCGGTTGTTGGTATTATATTATCATTATTTAGTTCGCCCCATACTTGATTAAATATCTAATAAATTCTTATATTTCTTAATTTAAATACTTATTTTCACATTAACTAAAATACTATTATATTAAAATATATCGAATATAAAATAATTTTACAGGGTTCGAACCCCTTTAGTTTATAAGGAAGCTCCACCCCTAATGATTGGAAGGTAGTTATAATTTAGATATTACACCTAAAAAGAAATATTTGCGAAAAAGTTGTTATTTTTAGGGTAAATAAAATGACGAGGCAGTCTAGCCTAATAAACTTACTCCACCACATTTTTCTCTGTCCAGAGGTTATAAATTGTTCCTAAAGGTGCGACTATTTTGTGGGTTCTTGAATCTCCTTCTCGTCCTAGCTTGGTCATCTCATCAGTAATTCTGTTCCCCTCACGAAGGGTGTGTGCTGCTTGAATATCCCAATATTTCCTTATCACATCAGCTACGTAATATCATACCGTTGATTCAAGATCTTTTTAGCCAGTAGCTTGTAGGTGCTTTTAGACTTTCTTGTTGTCAGCCTCAATGATCATTTTTTTAATCCGAGTTCCCATGCAATTTTCATTCCTTCCAGGACTCCCCAAAGCTCCGCCTCTAGAACTGAGCATGTTATGATAGCCTTGTGAAAACCCATTATCCATTCTCCTTTTTCATCTCTAATCACTCCTCCACAAGCTGTTACTCTGTTTGGTCTGTTGGATATATAAACTGCAAAACTACACCGTTAGCACTGACTGAAAATATAAACAGTAATTAAAAGGAACAGATTCGTAA